AGAATATGGGATGGGATGGGGGATGGGCTTTCCCCATCCCCAATTTGCTGGTTGAACGTAAAGAAAATAACTTAACCATGGGCTGCCTAACACTTAAGGTCTCATGAATTGTGTGTTTGAGATCAACCCATGGACTTCCAACTTTCTGGGGGACTATATAGGCAATTTCGTGACCCTAGTCTTTTTTGTTTTAAAATGTGTATTGTTTTTGTGTTGTTGAAATATCCAGCTTGTTTGTAGGTTATATTTCCTTAAACCCACCATAGATGGTTCTAATCTCGGCCAGTTCAGCAGAGACCGGCCGAGATTTGAACCATCTATGGGCAGGCTGATTGTACCCAACTTGATTGCTGAATGACTTGGGTACAGCCAGCATGTCGGACTTTATATGCCATTATTGCTAGGCACTATTATAGCAGTAATCACTATGTTGAGAACCCAATAGCTCAGCAGGAGGGGTTCCCCCATCAACACTGACTGAAATGGGGGAATTAGGTGATTTTCTTTCCTGAAACCCATGGTTGCAAGAAAGAAAATCGCATCATGCATGGCCCGCCTTACACACAGTTGTTTTGATCTTAAGTATTCTGTCATCTGTAATTTGATACCAAGACCTCAGCATTGATTGTTCTGACACCAACTAAGGCTAATTGCCTAAATTAAATTAAAATTTATTTTAAATAGTAAATACCCGTCTCACTGTCAGGTTCTTGTTCTGAGATTGAAGCACCACATCAAAATGAACTGTCCATATAGAGATTTATTCCACGATACCATAAAGAGCTTTATCACAAGCCAACGTGTTTCAGGGGTCACCTCCCTTCATCAGGGCTTGGAATGGAAGATCCCTGATGAAAGGGGTGCTGTCTGACCACCAAAATCTTACCTTACAATAAATCTATATCTGAACAATTAATTTTTGGTGTGGCACTTCAGTTCTAGATTTACTCAATTACAAACCAAGGAGATAGTGAAGATGCTTTGGATTGGAGAAACTGCCAGCCCCAAGAATCCAGACATTTTAGTAACATAGTTAGTCTGGCTGAAAAAAGACAAAAGTCCATCTAGTTCAACCATTAAAAAAAAGTTATAATCCTATACCCACAGTTGATCCAGAGGAAGGAAAAAAAAACCCCAGCAAAGCACGATCCAATTTGCTCCTGCAGGGAAGAAAAATTCCTTCCTGATCCCCCGAGAGGCAATCTGATATTCCCTGGATCAACTAGTAAATTACCCTTATGCCCCCTACTACAATAGGGTACAGTAACTGAACTGGATGGACTTTTGTCTTTTTTCAGCCAGACTAACTATGTAACTATGTAATTAAAATGCCTGGATTCTTGGAGCTGGCAGCTTCTCCAATCCAAAGGATCTTCACTATCTCCTTGATTTGTAATTGAGTAAATCTAGAACTGAAGTGCCACACCAAAAATGATGCTACCCTTCCAAATTCCTTTGGTTTTTCTGTCCTAGTCGGAGATTTCCCTTCACTTCCTCTACCCAGGACACAGCAGGAAGTAAGAGAAGATCTCTCCAAAGGGAGGTGATATCCCCCTCTTATTTGTCACTGGAACAGAAGATTTCCTCAAAGCTCCATTTCCTGTTACAACTCAAAATTTTTGGATTTCCTATCACTTTCTGCAACAGGGCCAAGGGTCACCTGGACCAATAATAATGGTAAACATCCCTAGTGAGGACATACAGCAATAAAAACCTGATGTAGATTTGAACCCTTCCATATTCTATCTCAAACGAAAAAGAAAAAAAAAAGCGTATAAACATTTTAAAGGGTAAAAAATATAGCAACAAAAACAATATGGCATATACAATTACTACAGCCGCCATATGTATTTTACTTTTATTACAAATCTCATTTTCTT